AATGTAGTACATCCACAATAGGCCTTTGTGCCCTAGCACAGAAAATAAACAAGGGTTTGGATGCCCTCTGGGTCAAACAGCATCACTGAAATGTGAAATCTTCCCTCCTACATATTTTCCACCCCCGGGTGAGCTTGTTCCATGAGCTGGGGAAGGGGTGGTGGGAAGTAAGGGTTCATGCTCAGGCTAATGCTGCTCTGTTATGATGGTGGGGGAGTTGGGGAGGGTGGCCCAGAGAGGGACAAAGCTAACATGAGGGACAAATGTGTTCAAATAGTTTGCCACCTCTCTGTCTTCACATCTGGAGTAAGCAGGTAGAACCTGCTGGTATTTGTGCTTTTATGTGGATAAGGGTTAATTTGCTCCCTTGTTTCTCAATCTCTGTTCCTTCCTCATGAAAAATCATGATCCAGTGATGAAAGCTTCACATGTGCTGCTCTTTCAGAAGGTAGAGGGTTACATGGAATGCCACCAAGGCTGTTTCTATGTGGTGGTGTGTTGTGTCTGCAAGAAGGTATGGGAGTCTGTTGCAATCCACCAGTTTTATTGCTCTACAACTAGCTTCTGAGCAGTCTAAACATTACTAAGTCTCCTAGTAAGGGAATTTCCAGGTTTTATGGGAAAACAGGCTGCCCAGGTATCTCCTGACCAGGAATCAAGAAATGGTGGTACTGTGTTGGGTGTCTTGGCAGCAAGCTTCCTCTGTTGTTTGAGTGACTGCCTGAGGACATTGAACCTTATTTACTTTGGGGTAGGCAGAGTACAAGGCCACTGTCACCTATTGAACTTGCCTCTACTGCACTGGAACATGCAGTGAGGACTTCCCAGCCTTCCCACCTTGGCAAGAAACATGACCCTGTCTGAATCCATGTCCCGCTCGGATTCCTCTGTACAGTCTTCTAGACTTGTAGGGAGATGTTTGAAGGGGTCCAGACTCTTAAGATCTGATGGTGATGGGTGTGAAGGGTTTGCTAAGTGGACTGAAAGCCTCTGAGCTGTTAGCAGGCTTTTGGGTCCAGCCAGAACAATGACAAGGTGCAAGAGAGCAAAGCTGTTACTGCTTGCTTCATTCCCTTGCCTGCTGCACACAAGTTAACTTTGTTAACTTTCCCGTGCTGGCAGGGCAGAACAGCAGGATCTTGGATCCCACTCCTTCCAGAAGATACGGCTTTAATGAAATGCCAGTGGGAAGGCTTCTGACCTCTTGGAGGTGGGCAGTGTATCATGCTTCCTACACTACAGGGGTGCTTGTAACTCCCTTGCAGAGATTAGAGGGAGCTGCACAGCATCTGTTTCACCTGTATTCTGTCATCGCTTGGTTGTATGGATGCCCGTGGGAAGGGAATGAAAAGTCCATAATTTAAATACAAACAGGGCAGTCAATGAACATCCCTATCAGAAAATAATCTGCACGCAGAGCCATTACAGCAATTTTACATTACAAGCAGGCATTACAAAAATCCCATGGCACTTTCCCAGCAGCTTTTCTATAATGTAGATGACATAGAATAAATAAGGAACTGTGATGACAGAAAAATAACCTCAAACATATGCTGGTGACTTTTTTTTTTTTTTTAATATATATAACTAAGCAGTTGCCAGCAATTACTTATGTGTCAGGTAATAATAGTTGTGGGAAGGAAAGAAGTCTTATGTAGGCTTCAGATAAGCTGTATTGTGTAGTCTGTGTCCAAACCCACTAAGCCAGAACTGTTTGTTAGCATGTTTAAAAAAAAAAAAAAAAAAGTGGGCTTCATTATGTGAAACGGATGTGAGCTACTGTGTCACTTCTGTGGACTTACGCAGTATTTCATACTTGCAGAATTCACATTTGTTGTTAACCACTGTCAGTAGTTTCAAGCCTCTGTTCTTCAGTACTTGCTGCTTTCTTGCGACAGGCTTTTCAGGCCGGGTCTCTCACTACTAAGCAGCAGTAAAAAGGTTTGGCTTCCAAGTCAGTGGTGGGTTTTATACTGACAAAATACTGTAGCCGTGTGACAGCTGTTGGGTGCCAGGCCAGTTTGTCTTGGCCTGTCACTTTGTACAGGACTTTCCTTTTCTTTTCCCAAAGAGCTCCTGAGACAGTTGCAGCAGCAAGGAGTGTAGGGGAAATCCTGTTTCTAATATGATAGACGTAGAGTTGAATTGCTATGGAGTACTTCTATTTCTTGTTGGTAGCCAGTCCTGTTTAGCAGGTTAAGACAGTATCATATCATTTGGGATTTTTAAAGCACCTGGGAAGGCCTGTGTGAACAACAGAGCTATTATTAAGCTAGTTTTCCCAGCCTCTGGATGTGCAGCTTCCATTGACAAAAGGGGTGGTTAATGTGTACGTAATAACTAATAGCTAGTATGGTGATTAACACAGTCCATGTACCTCACACAGTGCAAAAGTGGTGCAAGACGAAAGGGCTGTCTCCTATGGGCAGCCACGCTGGGTGGAGGGAGGATGGTTGGCTAACACAATTATGTCACAGTAAAACTTATTGGGATAAAGGGACAGTCTGTTCTGCAAATGCTCCAACCTCAGTTTGTGTTTTTGTCCTGCTGCAATCTTCCTAAATGCCAATCCGTCCTCATGCCATGGAGCCATGTGTAAGGGAGGGTGGAGGACATCAGGAGGTGTCTCTTCAGGATCTGCTGCTGAAAGTGGGCAGCCCTGGGAAATGCTCACAATGCTGCTTTTTGTTCAGCTGCTTTTGCAAAGCTGCTGTGGCATGCATCCAGTTAATACTTGTACATCTTGAGATTTTAGCAGGTTTCATAGCTAGGTATTTTGAGGTCATAGAAACTTTCAAGCATCTTCCTGTGTTTGTCCCATAGTACCATATTTGAAGGTGAGAGGTCTCTTCCCACCATTATAGATAGTTGTCTAGTTGTTTCTTACTTTCAGCTTCATGAAAGAACTCTTTCAAAACCTTCTTCTAATAAAGTCATACTTTTTTCCTGCAGTAAGCTTAAGATGAACTTGCAGTAGACTTGATGAAACAGATTTGGTACCTCGACCTTTCCTATGCAAAGTATGAACTAGTGTTCAGCCACCGGCCTCCCCAGAGCTGCTGCAATGCACAATTTAGCCTTTAATAAATATATTGCATCTGAATTGGTTGCCTGGGTAGTAACCTGCCAGATGAACCTTCCTGAAAATTGGTGTAACTTGGGTAGAAATTATTTTGAGTGTAATCTCTGACATTGGAATTAAATCTATTAAAAATGTGTTTGGATACTCCTGTTGTGATTTATGCTAAAGTGATAAATGGCTTTGTAAATGAATTTCTGCAATCAGTGCAGCAGATGGGTTTTGATTAACTCCTGGGTGGTGCAGAGGTGTGTCACCTTTCCCCTTTGAAGGGAGTGAGAGATGACATTAGGTAAAATGACTGGGATTTTTCCCAAGAAAGCCAAGACTCTTAAGGAAGTGTGTCACTTCTTATTGCTCTGAATATTGCCTTATTGTATTGTTTTTAACCTGTTTCATAATCTGTTTACAGAACAACAAAGTTGTGTGTGTAGAGGTAGATCCAGGTCTGTTTTGCAGCAAAACTAGAGCCTGACAGGCTGTTGTTGGTGTGGGTCACAAGAATTTTCCTGCACAAGAAGTGCTGTGGGGCAAAGCGGTGTGAAGCTGCAATGAGGATAGGTGTGTGGCTGCACTACCCTCCTGGGCAATATCGGATTTGAACTGCTGTGTTTCAGGTAGAGCCAAAGAGCCTATTGTTGTAGCACAGGCTCCCATGAGTTCACCATAGCCAGTGCTGACTGATGAGTTTGCAGGTGCTGTGTTGTTGTAGATTTAAATCTTGCAGCTGCAGTTGTCCAAGCTTGAAGGGCTTTGCAGACCTCTTGCAAAATGCAGTCTGTGCTTTCTGAGGGGTGAGCTCCAGACTTGGATATATTCTGGTGATGCTTTGCCAAAACTATACATGTACCACTGCTAGATAACCTTTTGTGTCAGGGGACAATTTTGCCTTGGTTATTGCATGTTCCTAGGAGTCTGTTCCTTTGATTGACCAGCCCTATTTGTTCCCAGATCTTTAACAGGACTGTATATTAATACATGCTGTTCAAAGAAACTTGAACTGCCAAGCAGTAACACTCAGGCTCTTCTTTCACTTCTATTTTATTTTTTTGGTAACAACTTGATTTATATCATTATTCTATTTCTCCTTTGGTATAAAGAAATTATTAATTCAGTAGTTCACATATATAGGATTAGTGTGTCTGTATCTTCAGATGAGTCAACATAAAACCAGGTCTTGGATAAAGGAATAATGTACATTGAGTCTGTCTGCTGAGAACCCAGACCTATGGCAGACATCACCCCTTGTTTCAGTTCTTCAAAAGCACAAGAGGCTCATAAGACATTGGCATATCTTTAATAAGCTAAATATTTTAAGGGGGGATGGACAAAAAAAAATTCCAACAAACTATTGTTTAGTTGGCTGGGAAAATACTTCTTTTCTGTTGTGGTTGAATTTTTGTATCCCCTTGGACACAAACTGAGCATTTAGCAGAAAAATTAACTAAATCATCAGGTATTTGTAGAAAAGGTTTTGGAAGTGTTAAGTGGTAAAGAGGCCTTGCTGTCTGCTGTGGGACCATTCATATGTATGGTGCTATTCATATTAAAACATGTGCCTAAATGCTTTGTAAAGGCAGAACCTAAATCTGAATGCTGCTTTTGATAAACAAATACGTCCTTCCAATTGGGATTCAAATGATCAAGGAACAAAAGACGTCCGAGGGCAATTCCCAGGTAATTTCCTGCAAAAAGCTGTATGCCCTTGTTTGTTGTGCATTTTAGAAGACGCTGAGATTCCTCTGATCCTGGTGCATGACAGTCTCTGGAAGCTTAAAGCTAAAAAAGGAATGTCTTGTTTGGCTGTGTCTTGTGTAACAGGGAACAGTATTTTGACACATGATTACTGAGCTCAGTAATTTGAATTTCGATTTGTATCTCGAGTTTTCTTTGTGGTAACTCAAATACTAATGTCTCCTAGGCAGTCTGCAGGCCACTCGGGCTTTGATGGTGGCTGCAATACTCCTGGGCCTTGTTGCTGTGTTTGTTTCTGTAACTGGCATGAAATGCATGAAGTGCATGGAAGATGACCAGGTGAAGAAGATGCGGATGGCTGTCTTTGGTGGGGTGATCTTCATCATTGCAGGTTAGTAATGTAGAGATGTTTTTAGCATTATATGTGACACTTGTAAACAGTGGTTATCCTGCATAGGATGGGGGAGGACTTGCTGTCATTGCTCCAAGAGCATTTTGGTCTGTGAATTCCTTAGCTCACTTTGGCACGGCAGCTGCCAAAGTCTCTTGGCACTAGCATTATACCTTCTATATGGACTGCATGCCTTCCAACTCTTACTAGCAGAGCTGAATTCGACCTGTGCACCCTGTGTCAGTGAAAGACTGTCAGCAGCAGTCCTGCTCTTGGTGCAATGTAATTGTAGGTGGCATCAAATCCTTTCTTAATAACCGCTCAGATCTTACTGGGGTAGCAGCAGTTCAGCATCACTCCAGATGCTGGTTCTGCTACATGCTTATTTTTGCAGTGATTTTGTTGATTGTTTTTTTTCTTAAGTCATGACATTGTGTTCCCTTCACATGTAGGTTTGGCAGCACTGGTGGCCACATCATGGTATGGCAACAGAGTGGCTCGAGCCTTTTATGACCCTTTCACCCCTGTCAATACCAGGTACTGACTCATTTGATGTAACACTATAACATCGCATGTCAAATGCTCATGAGGCTCAGTTTTGACTAGTAGTAGCTCAAAATAATTTCCTGAGCTAGCTGGGTTGGCTTCAAACTGTGCAGAAAAGAGCATTAGGATTGGGTCTCATCACCCATGTGGCTCTTGGGTCTTGTCTTTGTTTTAAGGCAGCATCACTGCCAGAGACCAAACTGATGTGACTTCTGAGATTTTCCTCCACTAAATTCTTAAGGCCTGGTTTGCACAGAGCTTGCCCTTTCTGCAGCTGTCCAGGGTGACCTAAAAGTCTGGGCTTAACCCAGTGTGCAAAGCTCTGGACTTTGAGGGTCAGCAGAGTCTCAGGATGCTCCAAACAGCTGCCTTGCAGGAAGCTGCTTCCATCCCAATTTCAGCTTCCTTCTGCTTTGTGTAAACAAGCTAATGCTGTAATTCAGAGTGTTACTTGTATTCACTTTCTTCTTTCTCCCTCAGATTTGAGTTTGGATCAGCTCTCTTCATTGGTTGGGCAGCTGCTTCTCTGGCCATGCTGGGGGGGGCCTTCCTCTGCTGCTCCTGTCCACGGAGAGAAACTTCATATCCACCCTCCCGAGGCTACCCAAAAAATGCCCCCTCCACAGGGAAGGATTACGTATAATGAAGCAAAGGAGTCGCCAGCACTGCTAATGAAAGCATTTTGGAAAGGACGCTACAATGCCACTGTCCTGAGCAGAGTTCAGACTCTAGGTTCTGCCTTCCTCTTCTCCCAAAAATGTGTATATTTTTATAATCCTCTTTGCTACTGGACATAACTTCTCCTTTCTCTCCCAGCCCATGGAGGAAGGCTAGCCTAGGTTCATAGGTATTGCCACTGAAAAGATGAAACCTCCAAGCTTGGGTTAAGTTTAGTATTTGGGAGCAAAAGGGAAAATGATACTGGTTTTTTAGATGGATGTTGGTGCTTTTTTTAGTTGTTTTTGTTGTTTGTTTGGGGTTTTTTTTTTTTTTTGTTTTTGTTTTTGTTTTTTTTTAAAAGGATGGTAACAATTCAGTCCCATATCCCATTAAGTTAGAGCCCAGTGTGGTGTGTAGAAATTAAAGGAACTTTATATAATATACGAAGTGAGATGAAAACAATAGCTTAAGGGGAAACATAATTTTGGGGAAAAGACTTTACATGTAGGTATGTTTGAAGAGATAAAAAATGCTCTTGTGCTCTTATCACCATCATCTTCAGCACCCTACTTTCTGTGCAGATTGGCATGACAAAGGGTCAGACAACTAAATTACTGTGACTTACATTGGAATCCGTAACTGCCCATGCACATGCTGTTGGCCAGCAGAAGATGCAGTGTAAGGTGGCAACCGCAGAGGTTAGCAGACTCCCAAAGCAGCCAGATATCCCTGGTGCTGGGAACAGCTTGAGAAAAATGATTGCCTTCTGTTTTCACTGGGTGCCTCTGGTGGGGCTGTTGCTGCTGTTACTTAGACACTGGGTGTTGCAGGTGATTGTTTTTCCATGTTACCATCCCAGTACCTAACTGAGCTTGAAGCTTTATCGCCTTTGTGTTACAGGCCTCCTTTTAACAAACACTCTCCTCTTTCTTGAGCCTTTCTCATTTGGGCTTAGTTTACTGATCTCTGTTTGGCTTATGCAGCTAAATGTGTTAAACCAAACAGAATGTACTGCTGCTCCCTGATGTTTCCCCAAGGATACCTCACATGCTGCCATTTGATCCTGTCTTTTCTTTCTTGTAAACATGTTCAGTGATTATATGAAGGCAAATTCCAAGGAAACTGACCCAAAGGTTATGGCATTTTATAGTAATCCAAGCTCACCAAAGAGGAAGAAACTAGCATTTTAATGATAAAGCCATCCTTGCACATTAAGTTGTACATTTAAAAAAGGAGGGGGGGGGGGGCAAAAAAAAGCAGCTCATCAGAAGTTCCCACCCCTTCCCCAGTTAGTCACTTACTGTTTGACTAACACTGGCTAAGGCTGTCTGGAGTTAAGTCTCAAATGCCTAGAAGGATGGTACTAGTTTTCCAGAGCTCTACCTTTTCTACAGAAGAAAACTGGTTGTCTCTGACCAGACTTTATAACTGTATATGTGTTCAGAGACATCAGATATCTTTTATTTCTTTCTGTAGCCAGGCAGAGCCTCTAGGGCTGAGCTATGTACAACCATAGCTTTGGTGGTTTGTATAAGCCTTGTACCTCTGTTTGACCTGACTCTCTGCAACATAAAGTTACTAAAAGAAATCAACCAGAGCATTTGCTTCAGGCTTGAGTTGATGTTGGCCTGTACTTGGAGCTGGGTCGTGTGGCTTCCACTTCTTCATGGGGAATTGCCAGTGCAGAGCAGCTGCCTCACAAGACCTCATCTTAAGAGGTGGCAGTTCAGGTCACATTAAAGAGCAGCTGAAGCCTGTGCTTTTGTATTTGCATTAACCCTGAGCCAGGGAGCAGATGCTTGTATTGGGAACTTGTATAAAGTGTTTAAACAATTTCAATAAATGAACCTTTTTTTTTTTTTTTAAGGAAAATCAGACTATTACTTAATTTTTTGGTTTTGAGCAGAATTTGGGCAGTGTGCATGGAAGAGAAGAGTGGGGCTTAGGCTTTTAGGAGCCTGCCTGCCAGGATGGAGCTTGTTTAGCTGTGTGTATCTACAGCAGACTTAGGTGGGGACAGATCTTCTGCAGTGAGTCAGGCGGTTGTGGCCTCTGGCAGAAACTCACCCAGTAATCTGCTGTGACTGCAGCCCAGGAACCTGAAGGTCTGCTCCTCATCGCAAGCAAGCTGCACCCTGGGTGGAGCAGGAAGGGGTAGGGGGATGGCACACGGCTCCTTTGCAGGGGAGTGGGAGCTGCAGGAATGGGGAAGGGATGGGGTGTGAAGCCAAGGCACTCCTGGGAGAAGTGCTCTGTGTTTCAGCCGTGCTTTGCTGTCTGTAGCTTTATCAGGTGTAGGGTATGTACAAGCTTGGCGATCCGCATGAGGTGCTCTGCCTCCAGAGCAGAAAGAGGCATATCTGTGTGTCTTCAAAGCCTTATGTGCTAGGCCTCAAGCTGTGCCAGGGGAGGTTTAGACAGGATAGTAGGAAAAATTTCCTTGCTGAAAGCATAGTCAGGCATTGAACAGGCTGCCCAGGGAAGTGGTGGAATCACTGTCCCCAGAAGAGTTCAAAAATCATGTAGAAAGGGCCCTTAGTGACACAGGTTAGTGGTGGCCTTGGCAGTCCTGGAGTAACGATTGGACTTGATGATCTTAAAGGCCTTGTCAATCCTAGTTGTTCCTATGATTCTGTGATTTCTGAATTAGCAGGATCATGAAGAAATGAGCTGTGGGAGGACCCATCTTGCTCTAAAGCCCCTTTGGGAGGATACTGTGTTTCTCCCAGGTGTAACAGTGGGTGCAACCAGTTGGTGTACCATTTTTGTAGGCTAGGTGGAAAATGGTTCCAACTGGGAGTGGTTTCTTCTAACCCGCACTGATACCTCCCTAGGGTAGAAAGGCTCTACGCCCCTTGCTCCTGCCTTGCCTGGAAACCTTTTTCCATTCACCAGGGCTCTTTTGTTCATCCCTTTCATATTTTCAAGTACGTGTGATGAGAGGCAAACTTTATTTAAAACATTCCCTTAAGCTCAGTCAAGAAGCTGCCTCCTCTGTTCCCTTGCTCTCCAAGGGCTGTTTGCTTTTGTAATTACAAACAAAAGGAATAGAACTAATTAGGCCTTGTAAAGCTGGCAGAGCAAAACAGCCAGGCATGCGGCTGGCTGACTAAGCTTGCAGTGCCTGGAGCAGACTGGTTGACTGGCATAGTTTGGGGTCTATGGTCATTCTTATTCCAACCTGTCAATTAGTCAAGGATTTCCATTGAGATTAATTTTTTCCCATGTTTTCATGCTAACTCCCTCTCCAAGGACTTTTGCAAGTTCCACTCTGAAGGTGCCTGGGCAGAAGAACAAGAGAGGAAAGCAATCTCGCCTATAAAATGGTCCATAGGACTTCTCAGCAGCTGGTGAAAATAGGCCATTGCAGGAGATACACATCTCTGTGTGTGATGGGCACAGAGGAAGAAGCCAGAGGCTAGCTTGTTTGTTCGCTATATGATTAATTTGACAAATTCATAGCCAAACTTTCACTTGGATAGGGCTTGTGGATTGCTGGCAGGCTGGTTAGAAAGCCAGTGGTGAAGTTTAGAGGTAAATATAATGTTATGATTCATGGTCTGAATTCCTGTCCAGTGGTGACAAGGTGCAGTATCTCTTGGAGGTCTCATGTCTCACGAGTTGACTCCAACCCTGCTTGGGAGAGAGTTTTCCAACCCTTTTCCCCCTCCTTGCCTTTTACAATACACTTGGCCATGTTTTCCCCAGCCCTTTGGCTCTCTCTGTTACAGGATGCAAAGAAAAGGCGTAACATGGGTTGAAAGTTGAGGGAGTTTCTCCACTGGATTTCAATCCTTGCATATGACTGACATTCACTGCTGTGAAAGCCATTTTGCAATGAAATAATGGTGCTTGTCTGTACAGACAATGGGAACTTTGTTTCTTGGCATCTTCTTCCACACCGTATTTATCATTTACATGGAGTCTGCATAGTATAATATGCAGAAAACTTCACTGTCAGTGGGAATTACATGCTCATTTATATTACTTAGATATTTCAAAGGAGTTTGAGAGCTCAAGATATTTTAGGAATAACATTAGCTTCTTGGATTTCTTGGTTTCCCCACCTCAATAATCTTAAGAAACTGTCTATGCTAATCCTTTAACAGATACAGTTTCTGATTTACATGTGAGCTTCTTATAATAAATTTGCATTTGTTTTCTGTACTGCTCTGAGCACTTAAAAGTGTGTTAAAGCACTGAAAATTCTGACAATGGAGATCTCAGAAATAACCAGTAGAGCTGACGACAAGAAATATTTGTGAAATATTCATACAAACTCAATCTTTTTAACACAAGGCAGAAGCAAAAATGATGGCATTGCTGAGGGAAAGAAAAAGAGGTTAATGCAGCACTTCTGCTTAAAAGCAAATCCCAGAAATGCCAGTAACTTCCTGAAGTTGCTCAAATATAGCAAATCTACAAATCTAAATGACCAACCAGACTGAAAGAGCTTGAGACTTTTACCTGAGCATGGAGACACATGGGATAGCTGGGGCAGACTGTGAATTGGCAATGTAAATTGGCAGTGTTTTAATGAAGAACATCTAAAAGATGCTAACAATAGAAGCATCTTCCAGGGTCTTACCTAGTGTCTACCTGAAAAGGCATCCTTTGGAGTCAGTTCTTTGCACCATGGCAGAGCTGCAGTCAAATCATAGAATATTGGGTTGGAAGGGACCTCAAGGATCATCTGGTCCAACTTTTCTCAGCAAAGCCTGGATTCTGCAGGGGTTCCAGAGGAATAGGATTGCACTGGTCTGGGGGTACTCATCTTTCAGAGGGTGATGTAGTTTACCCCACCAGCCACAAGCTCACAACAACCACATTTCAGCCAGGGCTCTTAATCCAACCAGGCAACTGATCTGAACTTTCCAAACCAGCCTTTTGATTGCAATTACAAACAGCACTGCAAGGATTTCCTCATTATCCCTGTCATCAGGCTCTTCATTTCTCCAATCCCACTGGTTCTTCAATTTGCCTGGTGGCTGTTTCCCTGCTTCTAGAAGTCCAATCTGTGACAAGAAGCTTGCTCTTCCACAGCACATTGCTGTAGTTCCTGCAAAAGTCCTGCATGCTATGGCATCTGCATCGCTGAGCAGAAAGGGAAAAACACTCCTTTGTTGAGCCTCATGTGCTCAATTGGAAAACATCCCAACTCCTACAGCTTTTCCAGAAAAGCCCTGCCTGGATTCCTAGCATACTGCATCAGGGACTTGGTGTTTCTAGGGTCTGCATTTCTTACAGAGACCTGCTGCAGACAGCAGGAGTCCCCAGCCATGGGATCCA